GTTGCTCTCCTGTAATGCAACCCATGTGTGTGTGCAGGCATTCATCACCAGACCCTTTGTATTGCCCCCATGAGACTCTGGGAGCAGGCAAAATCAATGTGAGTGAACTTGCTAACAATCTGGCTATAGCTTTTTCTGCAATAAAGTCATTTGTGTCTAACCCAGGACTATCATATCCTCTGCTAATATGTGTGAAACTGGCAAGCTAACTTTTTAGCTTGCAAGTAGGATAAAATCTCAGACCCTCACAGTTTTTGACAACTACTTTTTCCTCACCAGATTTAATTAGCAAATTTATCAATGTAATGGATCAGTGTGATATTTTGACAGCTGTTAAGAAGATCCTGGTCTTTCTGAACAGTATTACCATATAGGAGATCTGACTAGCACTGAGGCAATATAGTCATTCTATAGTATTGTCCTACCACATAAACGCAAACTGCTTTTCCACACTGCTGAATGAGGAAAAGCAAGAAAATTGCATTTGCCTGGTGAATAGCTGCAAAACAGGAGGCAAAAGTGTGTTGATTCGTATATAAAGATAACACATCCGAAATTGTAGCAGTAATTGGCATCATCACCTAATAGCTACAAGCTACGGTCATTCTCCAGAACCCATCTGGCTGTTGTACTGGCCAAATAAGTAAGGTAAGTGGGTATATGGATATAATCAGTATCCCGATGTCTCTCAAGTCTTCAGAATAATCTGTGAATTGTAGGAATGGGGAACGGGACATTTTCAGAGGCTTTCACGTGCCTCTTCTATGATGATATCCATCGCTCCTTGTATCTGGGAACCAGTGTGGGAATGTGGTCAGTAAGTATTCTCATTTTGTAATGTGGAGCTAAATGGATCCCATGGACACTCTGTGAGACAGATTCAGGCCAATGTGCCATCTATCACCTGATCTCTAGAAGCTCACTCTATGACTGTTGGTTCATGGTAGCATTTTAGGTTTCTGGGGAATAGCAGAAAGGGAAAGCCATTATTTAATAATCCCTGGGAGGTCTGGTTATTCCCCTGCCCCCAATCTACAGTCACATTGGTAAATGACAGCAGTTACCTCGGGGAAAGTTTGGGTGAAGATTTATGGTATACACTTGTATTCATGTTATATGATTCTTTCTCCTAGGGCCAAGGCTTTTCCTTATTCAGGGAGCTTTGGGTCTGTGACTGGCTTAGGTCTGAGAACTGAGCAAGAGGTTGTGAATCGCCACAACATTGACTTCAGTCAGGTTTCTGCTTTGCAGATTTTTTTTTCTACCTGTAAATGTCATGCAGCACCATAGTACACTGCTCATATTATTTCTACAGATGCTTGATCAATTAGCCACTGCCTCAAATCTCTGCCTCTAGTTACTATTCAGTCCTTGGCATATTCTGGTAAGTGCTATGCCACCTTATCTGTTAAGTGCAAAAAGCCCTTGACCACTTATGGGTCTTACCATTCACGTGGAGATCAGAGAAACTGTTTTCATGGTAGCGTCTCTACCATCATTTCTGGCCTAAAAGAACAGTCATCAGAGGTCTCTTCAAGGATGCTGGAATCCTCTCATTAATGCATTTCTTAATGCCTTGGTTTTAGTGGTGGGGGATGGACTATGTATATTTAGGGGTGGCTTGGCTGAGTAGGTTGTACAAGGGTACTTCAAAAGTTAGTGGAAAAATGGAATTAAAAGATAATACAGGGGCTGGCCGCTTAGCTCACCTGGGAGAGCATGGTGCTGGTAACACCAAGGTCAAGGGTTTGGATCCCCTTACAGGCCAGCTGCCAAAAATAAATAAATAAAATAATATAAATCTTTCCATGAGCTTTTTGAAGACCTTGTATAGATAGATGTCCTCCAACATTCCCATCTTCCTGAGCCTTTGGACTTCTTACTCTACAGAATGCCAGGTAGGTTCCAGAATTTTGACCTGACTGTAAACCACAGTTGGCTTTCAGTTAGTTAAACTACAAGACTGTTAAAACCATTCCCAAGTAATTGAGCCAACATATTAAGATGGTAAAGTGTGCCCATGACAATAAATTTGGCCTGATTGTTTCTTATGATTTGTCCCCTTGGTCTAATACCATTAGAACCCACTTTGGTCGGTCAGTCTCATAACTCTTTTGGTATATAGGCCATTTTCTCCTACATACATTTTGCACTCACCTCTCTGTCCAGGTTTTATTTTTTGAAGACTGAGCTAATAAGAGGTCGGAGGGGTGGAAGCTAAGGAGAATTGGCAGTGACTTGTGAGACCCTGCTCCAGGTGCAGTTCCCGAAGACTACAGAGACCCTCAAATTAGGATGGGGTGGCGAGAGCTGCCTCTAAAAGCAAGGGAGAATTATGGAAATATGGAGTACTACAGTTCTCAGCCTTGACAATTTTGTCCAAATGTCACCATACCTACTCCCAGGGTCTACTCTCTCCCCATTTCCTTATAGCTTAGCCTAAAAGAGCTAGCAGGTTGAGCATTTAAATAGTGCTGCCACATTTACTACCAGACCCTTGGGTTTACTATCAGACATTTGGCTATATCTTTCTTAGCTATATTCTTAAGGCTGCAGGAAATGAGAGATTTCTTCAGAGCTTCCATTGATGCCATTTTGTTCTCATAAAACTCTCTTAGTTGTACACTTAATAAATTTTCATTTTCTTTTCCCCCGTGTGTACTAGGTTGGTCAGGTGAAACGGGGGGAGACTATAATCTTTATTATCTTTTATAAAGTGTTGGCATAGCCATTATATGCCATGGCCACTTGATCTTAGAATGAATCGCTCTCTGTATACACTTCATCTGATGCTACTACCAGCAATAATTTGAGTAATTATGAAGCCACCACATACTTCAGATCATCATGATCTGTTTCTCGCTACCTAGAGTTTGTCCCTGTACTCTACAAATATAAGTAACTCAATTCCGGAATTCCACATTGAGGCAATTCCCTAAGGCCACTATTGTATCAACCAGGACAAAGTTAACAGTTATCCCACTCCAATTTAGTATAATTCAAGGAAAGTTTAATAGAGGGATTATTTGCAAAGATGTGACTGAGATATAGGGAAACCATTAAGTTGTAGTGCAATGCCGTGGGACTAATAACAACATGATATTACCACCCCAAGGTCCAAAGGGATGAGGAGAAAGTCCCATGTGGAGAGGATACCTCTATAGGTATGTGTTACTTTAATGTTGACACAGCCAGCCAACCCTAGAGGGTGGGAACAGGTAGGAGAAAGAAAATACCCTTGACTCCCTCTTCTCACTTGGTGACCTCCCTCTTTTAAAAGAAAATAAAAGCCACAGAGTAAGAAAACCTTGATGTAGCCAATACAGATTAGCATCCCACAGCAAAGAGCAAGCTGGAGAAGAGTGGACGTGGAGGCATCCAATACGGTTCATTCTGATTTTTTAAAAAGTGAGAGCCGGGCCGGCCCGGTGGCGCACTGGATAGTGCGCCGCTTGGGAAGCGCGGCGGCGCTCCCGTCCGAGGGTTCGGATCCCACATACAGACCGGCTCCTGCTCACTGGCTGAGCGAGGCGCGGGAGCAACGCCGAGGCTTGCGATCCCGTTGCCGGTCCCCGGTCCGGTACGGGGGCAACACTGAGGGTTGCGATCCGTTGCCGGACACGGAAAAAAGACAAAAAAAAAAAAAAAAAAAAGGGGGCACCAACAGCTTTTTTTTAAAAAAAAAAAACAAAAAAAAGAAAAAAAAAAAAAAAAAAAAAAAAAAAAGTGAGAGCCAACAGCATTGCTTTATGAAAAAAACACTACGAAGAGTTAGCAAATGTGAACCAAATTGCACTATGACCATGTTGAGTTGAATCGAACATGTGAATGATAACCTAGAGGACTTGTATTTGCAGTGTTAATTTGATGACTAACACAGTATGAAGTAAATATAAATTATGTATTTGAAAATAATTGTAATTCATATTAACATTTTTATTAAAAGTAAAACTCATTGTGTTCTCACTGTGCATCAGTGCACAATGATTCAAGAAATCCTCTATGAACAATTTGTTTAAATATTGTTAAGGTAATAGGGTTCAATTTCAGGTCAAATTGAAGTGTCATTGAATATAACTTCATATCTCATCCTCATTTTGTTTTTCCACTCAGGGACTTTTCTTTCTACATATTTTATGTGCCCATATGCACATCCATGTTTTTTTTTTTTTTTTTTTTTGAAGTGTTCTCCTGCCGTTAGAGGCAGTATGGTGTAGCAGATAAGAAGAAAACTAGAGCCAAACTGCCTGTATACATGTCATGGCTTAGCCATTTCCTAGTTAGTTGTATGCCCTGTATTCCTCATCTGTAAAATACAAATAATGGAAACTGTCTCAGAGGGTTGAAGTGAATGTTGAGAGAAATATGCAAGCTGTAAATATTATTATTAAATACCTACAATTAAAATAAAAACCAAGAAGTTATTTATTAAGGGCATCACCTGTCAAAACGAGCAGTTATGAATTATTGGGAATCTCAAGTTTCATTTATCTACTTTTGCTCCCAGTATCCCGAGATAAGAAACAGCATGTAAATATGCTGAGCCCGGGCTGTGGTCAACCACTTAAATTAAGTAGGTTCACAAACTATCCATTTAATTTTCTCCCACTCAGTTCAGGAAACCGCGAAAGTAAAGCTAATTAATATAATTGGGGGCGGGGCCTATTCGACGAGAGGCGTGACAAACCCATGTTTGCCTAGGCGACAGTTTTACCTAAGCTGTGCCGCACAACCGCAATGATTACTGCATTTACCGTGGAGATGCGGTTACTCTCTTCCCTTCGACACAACCTGTTCACAAAACGTAAAAGCGAGTTTCAACTCTCAACCCGGGCTGCGGGGAGGTCGCTGGGACGCCGCTGCCGTTTACGCCCCCTCCGCACAGGCGCACACGGACCGAGGCAACTATTTAAATAAGGCGCTGCCGTCTCATTGGCGGGGGCTGCTGCTCATCGATTGGCTCTGTCTGGAGGAGGGCGGTGCCGGAGGTAACCATTGGTGGAGGCTGGAAGTTTAAACCGAGGCGAAAACCCCGCACTGAGTCGCTCCTCTTCTGAGTGCGCGGTTTCTTTTTTCCGAGGGCGTCGTCTGCTGGAGAAGGAGAGGGGCGAGTTCGCGCCCACGACCTCACGGCCGCCGCGAGGAGAAGGGGTCGGCTCAAGGCCGGCGTCCCGGCTCCGGGAGCAGCCTCGTGGGAGCGGGGTTAGCACGTCCGGGCGGGGTCTGGAAGCTGCCATGGCGACCCGGCGAGCGGGGCGAAGCTGCTGGGAGGTGAGTCCCGCCGAGCGGAGGCCGCTGGCGGGGCGGCGGGGCCCCGCGGCCGAGGGGGAGGCGGCTTCGCCGCCCGTCCTGTCCCTCAGCCACTTCTGCAGGTCTCCCTTCCTCTGCTTCGGGGATGTTCGATTGGGAGCCTCGCGGACGCTGCCTCTGGTCCTGGACAACCCGAACGAGGAGGTGGCTCAAGTGACGATCTCCCACGTCCCGGCCGCCGACCTGGGCTTTAGCGTGTCGCCGCGCCGTTTCGTGTTGCAGGTAGGTCGTGGGAGGGGCGTGCCTCTGGGGTGATGAGTCCTGGAAAAGAATCAACAAGAGCAAAAGACCCAGAAGAGTAGTCAGTCCCTTTCAATCAATAACCGCGGGTGGGTCCTTGACCCATACAATCGGCGCGCGCGCGCGTGTGCGTGTGGGTGTGTGCGTGTGCGTGCGCCACATCCGAAACGCCAGGGCAAGCGGTAATTTGGACGGTGACAGCACATCTACACGCGCGCACTAAGCATCTTTAGAAACGTTCTTTTTTTTTTTTTTTTTTGTCCTTTTTGAGACCGGCCGCACCGCGCTCAGCCAGTGAGCGCTGTGAGCGCACCGGTCATCCCTATATAGGATCTGAACCCGGGGCGGGAGCGCTGCAGCGCACCCAGCGCCGCACTCTCCCGAGTGCGCCAGGGGCTCGGCCCTAGAAACGTTCTTAATAGACTTATTTATTAAATAGGCAAGCGTTTTCCATAGACTTCAGGTGGTACGGAGTACTCTTGCAGTTCTTAATCAGTATGTGGCACTTTTTAAAAACACGCTTATTTTTTAAGATTGCCAGGAGTACATTGGTTAGAGCGGCTTTTTTTGATTGCTTCCTATTAACCATTTTAATGTGCATTTTAGTTTTCATATGTGTCCTTAGAGTCAGGGTGACTACTTTTTCTGGTGAAATAGTGAACTTCGTTTCGGTTAAATGTCTACAGCAAAAAGCAAGCAAAAACAGCCTCCTCAGGGTTGTTTCCAATATGCAAGTGTGGTGTGTATGCAAAGTTTTGTATTTTAATCTTTTTCTTTGCTGTCAGTGTAGTCTTAATGGTGCATCAAGTTTAATTTTTGTAAAAGTTGTTTTAAAAACCTCCCGCGTAGCTTTTACTGGCATTGCATTGGCCAGAGTAATCTTCCCATCCCCACCACCAAAATCTAGAGAATTTATGTCTTTTATTTTGACTGCTGTGGCCTTTCTATTGAGTAAAAGTTCAAAGTGTGAAAACCTTTAGCTGGGGAGGTCTGAACTAGTTGGCTGATAATCATTTCACGGGGCAGTAAGAAGGGACTCTATTCTGAGGTCCGTTGACTTGTGTGTCACCAGTGGCTTATATACACTTCAAGAAGTGCCTGACCCTCCCCTCTGTTTTATGAATAACTGCCTGCTTTCCTTTCTGTGGAAAGATAGATTTCACTCCTATATACATAATATTTTTACTTATTTTTTTGTTGTAATGTGGAACTAAATGTTTTGTTGTTGTTTTTAGAGTAAATCTGTTTTATAGAGTAAAAATTCACAGTTTTTATCTTTTAAAACAAGCTGCTTATGATGTTATATGGTTTCTCCATTAAAACAAAGACTTGTCTTTTTTACCTGAAAAACGAGAGTTTGTTTTGTCATGTGAGAGTTTTGCATTTGTCAGATTCTATCTATCTGACAGGCTGTTTGAGAAAGATTACATTAAAGTCTGATTTTGATAAAGATTAAGTTAAAGTTTGAATTCTGCAATCACTGCCTGGATTCTAATTACTAGCTGTATGACTTTGGCGAAGCTTTCAGGACATTGGTTACTTCATCTGTAAAATGAGAATAATCATAGTACTTGCTTCCTAGGGATGTGAGCATTAAATGAGTTATGTAAGATAAGCATACATACCTGGAGCACAATAATTTTTTAACAAATATCAGCATGATGTGGACTTTAGAGGAGTTTGTGGGAAAAGGGAAATTAGCTGATCGTCTTTCTATTTCTTTTTGAATAAAGTCTTCATAATACAGGGTCATTATGTTTGAAATACAAGTCCTGTATCTAAAAATACTAGAAAAATACAATTAAATTTTTTAAAACCACTCAACTAAAATAAAATGATTTGGAGACTATCTGTTCCATTGCTTTCATAAAAGTACAATTGTACTGTACTTGTATTTTGGTGTGAGCTCTCTTATTACTAATGACTTTTTTCCTTGTAATGAAATGAGTAGATAGGGTAGAAAAAATATATTTGACTTCTTAAATGCTATTAGAGTGCAGAGTGTTGGTGACTAACAATTATTGATCCTCCACTATATTCTAAGTTGTATATAATTTGTTTCAGTTATTATATAATTACTGTTGTCATAGTCATTTAAAATGTATTCTTTTGATTATAGCCTAAAGAAAAAATTGTTATTTCTGTTAATTGGACACCACTTAAAGAAGGACGAGTAAGAGAGATTGTGACATTTCTTGTAAATGATGTTCTGAAACACCAAGCTATATTACTAGGAAATGCAGATGAGCAGAAAAATAAAAAGGTAATGTTTTAATCATTCTGTGGTTTACTCTAAGAAAATATTTAACAGTATGTAAAAATTATTTTGATAATAGGCTTGAATTAACATACATAATATTGCTTATTTAAAGGTAATATTCAATAACTATCAACTTAATTGGTATACTTTGCTTATTTTTGTAGAGGAGTCTTTGGGATACCATTAAGAGGAAGAAAAAATCAATCTCTTCACGTCACAGCACAAGGATTTCAAATATTCAAAATGTTAACAAAACATTTAATGTTTCCAAAAAAGTTGACAGAGTTAGGAGCCCACTACAAGCCTGTGAAAATATGGCTATGAATGAAGGCTGTTCCCCAACAGAAAATAATTCTTTAATAACCCTTGAAGAAAATAAAATACCCATATCACCTATTAGCCCTGTTTACAAAGAATGCCATGGTGAAACTTGCTTGCTACTTTCTATTCGTCGATCTACTACTGACTCATCTCTTCATGCATCTGAAAATGAGGAACTATTAAAAGTAGAAGATGCCAACGTTTCACAAGATTTTTATTTTAATGAGAAAGTCATAACTGAAACTTCCTTTAATTACGTAAATGTTAATGAGCAAAGTGAAGAGAGTAGTAAACTTACTCTTACTCCAAACTATACTTCAACTTTGAACATTACACAAAGCCGAGGAAATTTTCTAAGTCCAGATTCGTTTGTAAAGAATAGCCATGCAGCTAATAATAAACTAGAATTAGTGACATGTCTTTCTTCAGATGCATTTATGAAAGATAATTCAAATCCTGTGCATTTGGAATCAAAAACTGTACATGAAACTTATCAGACAATTTTAAGTCCAGATTCTTTCATGAATGATAATTATGGACTAAATAGGAATCTAGAACCAGAGCCAATTAATCCCATTTTATCCCCACATCAATTTTTAAAAGATAATATGGCTTGTATATGTATGTCTCAGCAAACATGTGAATTATCACCATTATCAACAGAAAATTTTCAGAGCCCACAGTCTCCTCAAGATTGGAGAAAAGATGAAGTTTTGCCATGTATTCCTGAATGTCAGGGTTCAAAAACTCCCAAACCTACTTTTGAAGAACTTGTAGAAATGAAGTCAAATTACTACCATTTTACAAAACAAAATCATCCTAAATTTTCTGCAGTTCAGGATATTTCTAGTTTCAGCCACAGTAAACAGCCTAAGAGACGTCCAATACTTTCTGCTACTGTCACTAAAGGGAAGCCCACCTATGCCAGAGAAAACAAAACTGAGATTAATAAACCAAATGCAAAAAGATGCCTCAACAGTGCAGCAGGTGAATGTGAAAAAGAGGCTTTTCATTCTCATCTTCCAATTATAGATCCAGTATTGAGTAAATCTAAGAGTTATAAAAATGAAATAACTTCCTCTCCGATGACAGCTTTAGTTGCTCGTAAAAGAAAGAGTGATGGAAACATGGAAGATGCAAGTATGCAGGTTGCGGTTGCCGAGCAGACAGAAGTGCGAGGAGGCAAAAGAATCCATTTTTCTCCTTGGGAGTCTAAAACTTCGACTGTTAAAAAAACAAAAGAGGTGATAACACCCATCTCAATACGTATTAGCAACAGAGAGAAATTAAACCTGAAGAAGAAAGCTGGTGAGTCTTGTTTATAAAATCTCTAAAGAAAGTATAGGTATAAATGGCATTTTTTCTGTTTCTTTTGGTTTAATAAATCTGTTACTGATAAGCCTGTATTAGCTTGCAGTGTTCATTTACCAATTTGTTTAGTGAAAGATTTGGGGGGGGGGGTCAAATGTAGCATGGAGCTAAATTCTGAAATAGTTGTGATCCTGTCCGTATTTAAACTTTTGATGTTTTGTTCATCATGAGTTTTATGCATTTATTTTGATTTTTTAAAACTATTGCATTCAAATATTTATCTTAATTACTGAGTTTTTTTTTCACGTCCCCTTAAATTTTACTCCCAAGTAAAGTACTTCATGTGCCTTGCCATGTGCAGGCACTGACTGGAAGGCCCACTGAAGTGCCTGTACCCCATAATGCCATCTAAAGGAATGCGGAAGACACCTTTACATATGCTGTGTTCCTGGTGACATTACCTCCCATAGCCTCTGCCCAGCCATTAATTAGGAATGAAGTTAGGGCCCCAGAGTTCTGCATTCCTTTAGGAGAAACCTCATTGTTCTTTTCCTAGTGTTCACAGCTTTACCACCACTGTATACTTCCAGAATAGTCAGGACTCATCCCATCATGCCATTTTAACCCAATTTGCCTCATTTGACAATCAATGTTCAGGCAGGAAAATAAACCACACTAGTTATTTTACCAAGATAATTTAAAAGAATCCTAGGACTCTTAGGAAATATATCGCACATCTCATATCCCTTTGAATATCCCCTACTTTGAACCATTTTCTCTATCTCTGAAGCTCTTTAACACCTTCTGAGCCCTCTGGTCTCGCTGTCCTTCAGTAGTCCTCTCCTTTCCAAACACTTCCTCACTCCCTCACCCTGCTGAGACCTGGCGCTCCCTGAGAACTCTGCTTTCACTCCAGTCTCTAGTTGTGTCTTCTTTTCTCTCCTACTCTGTGACCTTGAGCTTCCCTGTGGGATCATCTCATATCTACTTTTTGCTTTTTATATCTACTTCCAAACTGTTAATTTTCCTTTCTTCCTTAAAAAGAAACAAACAAAAAGCAAACAATGACAAACTCACTTGAACCTCATCTTCCAGACTATCCCAGTCCTATCCCTCCTTAATATGAGAGATTGCTCTCGAGGTTTTGTATGTGGCTCATGATATTTTCTCCAACACATGATATTTTTACTATCGAGATGTCAAGATCCGTGTAGAAGATCCTTCCAATACCCTGGCCTTTTAGTTCCAACCTGCTTAGGTCATGCTCTCCTAAAAGCACCTCCGTCTCCAATCACCATCTCTGTGACTTCAGCATTTCCTTTAGAAGCCCAACCTCAACACTTTTTTTTTTAACCTCAACAATTTTTATACCCTTCCAACACCTACAATTCTTTAATCCACCGCTGTTTCTACAGCCCTCACCCCTGACATGTCCGTCCTTTCCTTAACAGCGTGGGTTCTATAACTCTGTAACTTGTGCTTGTCATCACTTCATTCATCCTCTTTCCCTTTATTGTACTTGCCCAGCAAATTACAACCCCAGTCCAATCTAACTTTGCTATATAGGCTATTTCATCCCTTTTCTCCTAAAACCTGTCTTTTTCCTCTCGTGATTGACAATAGTAGCCAACATTTATTGAGCATTTTCTCTGTCAAACCCAGTTTTAAGTCCTTTACTATTACCTCCTTTACTACTTAAAACAGTCATACAAAGTAGATGTTATCATTACTGTGGTTTTACAAATGAGGAAACAGATGCATTGAGGAGTTGTGTAATTTGCCTAAGTTCACAGTGTTAGTTAAGTGATAAGGCTGGGACTCTACACCAGGCAGTGTTTCCAGAGACAATGCTCTGATCCTCCTCTAAGCTAGTGATCTGCTTCCTATTTTCATTCAGGAAATAGAAGTATTGAAGACACCTTTCACACTGTTATGTACAAGATCTACCACCCTACCTGTAGTTTTATCTGCTAAGTTCTTCATTCCTATTAACATCATGAAATGTCTTTACACCTAATGAGATCAGCCTCTCTGCTTGTACACCAGCCCCCATGCCCTTCTACCCAAGGGCATTGCTTTAGAAATTGCCTTCTTTCTCCCACGTCTCCATGTTTTTGCTCCCTACTAAGCCATTTCTGACTGACATACAAATATGCTGTTGTTATTCCCATCTTAAAAAACAAAACAAAGAAACCAACAAACCCGCTTATCCTTTCAGTCTGTGCTCCATTCTGTTTTCTTTTAAGCAAAATTGGAGAGAATCTAGTTATTTACTTTGTGGTAATTCACTGAGTTATATAGTTTATTTGTATCCTTTTCTGTGTAAAATTATACTTAGATTAGAAGGTGTTTTATAGAGTAAAACATTTTGCAGGTTGCTTTTACTAGCTGTTTTCAGTTCCTCCCCTGTTTGCTGAATCCAGTTCCATCAGTTTTGACTACTCCCCTGAAACTTTTCCTGCCAAAGTCATCAATGACCACACTGCTAAATCCAGTAATTATTGTACCGGCCAGCCCCCCACCCCCAAAAATCAATAAATTAAATTAATAAATTAATAAATTAATCCAGTAATTGTTTTCAATCTTCAACTTGAACTGTTAGCAAACTGCTTGATAGTTTGAACCTCTACCTTCTTGGAACACTCTGTCTTAACCATCTTTACTTTCTCCTGGTTCTTTTCTTACTTCACTGGCTGCTTCCTCTCAGTTTTTTTTGTGGGGTGCTTTTCACTGCCCCTAAACCTGGGAGTGCATGAAGTCTTAGTCATGGGACCTTTTTCATATTTTTACTCATTTTCATAATGATATCCTGTCTCATAGCTTTTAATATGATCTGTACATGTAGGCTTCCCAAGTTTATTTTTTCAGGATGGACCCCGAATCTGTAGACTCATATATCCAACATATGTTTCTACTTGACTGTCTAATGATATTATTCACGCAATACCAAGACCTTGCTATCTTCCGTCCCCAAACAGGTTCTCCTGTTTTGAGCTCTGATCTCAGTAAATGATATCTCTATATTTCTCATTGCCCAGGCCGTTGGAATTGTCCTTAATTGTGTTTCTCTCCCACCCCTTCTCTATAAATTCAGAAATAGGTCTGTCTGATTCCAGACTCAGTTCATCAACAAATCTTACCTTCTCTTTCTTTCAAATATATTCAGAATCTGATCACTTCTCACCACTTCCAATGGCACCATTTGGGCCAGTCTTTGCCATTGCAGGGTCTGCAAATAGATCTCCTTGTTTTCACTGTTGTTTTCTCTATAGTCTATATTCTACAATACAACCGGGGTGATACTTTTAAAATATTAGATCCTATTACTCTTTAGTTCCATACCATCTAATGGCTTCCTGCCGTACTGAAAGCCAAAGTTCTAACAATGGTTTACAAGGCCCTTTAAGATCTGTATTACCAGCATCCTCCTTCCCACCTCACTCTTATCTTTCTCTCCCCCTTGCTAACAGTGCTCCTACCACTTTGGCTTCCTTGAAACCTCAAACGTGCTCTGTCCTCTGGGCATTTGCACTTTATTATTTCCTCTATCTGGAATGATTTCCTTCTCCAACTTCATCGTAATATCAGATTCAAAAATGCCAGTAGCTTGCCCAAGATCACAAAAGCTACTAAATACGTAGAGCCAGGGTTTAAACTCAGGATTACCTAACTACAAAGTAATCTTTCCACCGTATCTTGCTGTACTATTGAGGTTTACGTGAGAGAAAAGACAAATGCAAGGTTTTTATTTGGGCAATGACAAAAGATGACAGTGATGAAAGGCACAGTGGGATTCACTGGCCTCAAAGTTGTGATGTGCCGATGTATGTAGAGGCCCTGGGTGGTATCCAACATACAGTGTTCTTACCCCCCTGATAGGAACCTTCAGTGGCTCTCCGCTGTTGTCAGATGATTTGTAAACCGTTACTCTGTCATTTAAGGTCATCCTTCATGTGATCTCTACTTATCCACCCTGCTATCTTATTCCAGTATTCTTCAGCATTGTAGCCATGTTAGTCTTCTTGCCATTGTGTCAGTGTATCCTCTTATTAGCATTCATGTCTGTTCTCCTATTAATTCAAATCCTTCACTTATTTCCAATACTATAATTAACTTTCGTTAATTCTGTTTCCTAATGAATTTTCCTCCAGGTTCATTTCCTTAGCAAATATGAATACAGCTTATGACATTTTGTACCTACCTTTTAACTCTGTTACTTTGTTTGTACTGTTTCCTATAGATATGTTCTGATCAAATAACAAATCTTTCTATTGTAAGGAACTTATCTATTTTGAACTCCTACAAGGTATGCAATAAATAATAGTTGAATGAATGAATTAGTGAGTGAATGAATGAACAAACAAACCACTGAAGTGTTGACAGTCGAACTTAACATTTGCTTGAGGCAGACACCTGGTTTAGACTCTGCTGGATTTAGAGAGAATTGTACACATTTAGGTGTTTGATTTATGAGCCTATATGACAGCCAGGCAACTCACTAAGAGTGACTCTAGCTTATTCCTCTTCTGACAAACCTAGGAGAACAGAGAAAGAAGGCAGTTTTTTTACATGCATTTATTCAACATTGATAAGGTGCCAACTATGTGCTAGGCATTGTTCTATGCTCTATGGACACAGGGAGAAAAGGTAAAATTCCTATCCTCAAGTTGCTCTCAGTCCTGCCCAGGAAATTATGCAAGCATAGAAGGCAGAGGCTTAGTGTGAATGACAAGATGTGAGATGGTTCCAAGAAAGTCTTCCTAAAGAAAAAAATGGTTCCAGGCAGAGGGACTAGCTCTCAAAATGAGGAATTTCTTCTCAGAAATTTATTTTTAAAATGTTTGAATAAAAAGAACCTTAAAACCTAATAAGTATTATATTGCAATTTAGTCATGTTCATTATTTTTACAATTGGTATAGATTTGAGATCCCTCAAAAACAAGGGCAGGCAAATTTTTTTTCTAATGGTACAGATAATAAATATTTTAGACGGTGCAAGCCTTTTGATCTCTATCACAAACTACTCTGCCGCTCTAGAAGGAAAACAGCCATATAGACAAGGTGCAAATCAATTAGCATGACTGTGTTCCAATAAAATTTTTTTATGGATACTGAAATCTGAATTTCATATAATTTTTGTGTGTCATGAAATGTTTTTTTTTCAGCCATTTGCAAATGTAAAAACTATTCTCAGCTTGTGGATCATATAAAAACACTGGGCTGGACTTTGCATGTCGGCCATGGTTTGCTGGCCCCTCCTGTTATTAGCTCTTTGCTATATTTAGTAGCAATATATGCTGGGTGAAACCTGCTTTTAAAAGTGTGAACTGCTGTCTTGTTAGGTTATTTGCTGCTGTGACTTTGATTGCATTACGCAGTCACCTCAGTCACCTGGGCTACATACCCGGGCATCAGCCTGTTCTCATTCTCCATCACTTTCCTAGTTAGTTGATAGGGCTTGTTGCTTCTACTATTAAAATAACTCTCCTTTCCTTTGTCTCGTCACATCTAACTTGGGTTACTGTCATAGCTGTCTTGATACCCCATTCATTTCATTGTCCATACTGTTTCCTTAAATATAAATGAGGGTATTACTTCCTGCATTAAAAATCCTTCACTGGCATAGTAGATGCTTTGAAGTGATTAATAATGTAGGCTCTGGTACTTAAGTGCCCAAGTTCAAATCTCTGCTGCTTACTAGTTTGTGTGACCTTAACCCAAGTGGCTTAATTGCTCTAAGCCCCAGTATCCTAATTATATAAATTGTGGATAATAATAGTACACTCCCCATAGATTTATTGTGATAATTGTATGTATGAGTAAAAGACTGTGGTCGTGCCTAGCACAAAGTATTCAAATATTAGCTGCTGTTATTATATTTAATATTTTTAAACTCTTCCCTACATCCTCCAACCTCTTCTTGTATGTCATTTTTCACATGTATTCTTTTCTCCATCTTTATTCAGTTTCCCTTCTAGGAAGGCTCTTCCACCCTTTGAAAACTTTTTTCGTGCTAAACTGAGAACTGCCTAAGAGCTGGGACCGTATCTTTCAGTTCTGCATATTCTCAGCACCTTGCATAGCCTGGAATATATGCATACAAGAAGTTGTGGTTGAATCTGGACTGTAGCTTTTGTAAAAATACAATAAATTGTGGTTTATGGTCTGTAACATTCAGGTGTTGGTTTTATTGACTACTGAGTTCATAGCATTAGTACCTGGGGCATAGTAATTATTAAGGATTTGCTAAATGAATATAATTGTGAAGAACTCAAACTCTAACTTTCAAATCAGTTATCTATTCAGGGAACTTGTTTTATTTTTTAATGATATTAATTGTTTTCTAATTTGTTGTAGATTTATTAGCATTCAAGACTCCTATTTCTAAAACAAACAAAAGAACAAAACCCATTGTTGCTGTGGCGCAGTCCAATTTGACCTTTATAAAACCATTAAAAACAGGCAAGTGTTTATATTTTAACTCTCTGAAAAAGTGACATGGAATAAAACATTACTTGCATTTCAAATGGAAATGAATTGATCTTTTTGTTGTTGAATAAAAGCCTTGAAGAACTGTTAAAGTGTGTATTCAAATTACAATTAAAACATTCCATCAGACTTTAATGAAATTGACTTACAGTGGTTTAGGATTTTGAATTAACAAGGAAATATTGCTTTACCTTTTCCCCTTTGCTTTGGTTGCATTTTATACCCGGAATACTTTTAACTCTTTCCAGCAAATAGTGGAAAGCAAATATTGTTCTGTGTTTTAAAGATGGTTTTGCTAGTAAAAATGGCCTTTTGCTATATATTGTATAATAATTTAAAGGAAATTTTCTTATATAATAATCTAATTGTATTCTTAGATATTCCTAGACATCCAATGCCATTTGCTGCAAAAAACATGTTTTATGATGAACGCTGGAAGGAAAAGCAGGAACAGGGCTTTACGTGGTGGCTAAATTTTATATTAACTCCTGATGATTTCACTGTAAAAACAAATACTTCTGAAGGTAAACATTAATTAATATTTAAATTTAATAATATTCTTGTTTTAACAGATTAAAATTTTAACATGATGTGTCATTCTTTAATTATGCATACTTTGTTTATTATATTATAGTTAATGATGTGGTTCACTAGTGCATTGGCCTAAATGCTAAATGTTTTGTATAGGTATGAATTTTTACCTGCCTAGATTTATATACATAGATTTTCTGTATTGAAAGTACTAGGATTACTGAAATTTACTTTTTCTTTTTGCTTTTCATTCTCTCTCATCAGCCAGTGCAATCAGTTCTGTGTGGCCTGACCCTTTGGGCATATATTGTCTCCAATGTCAAGTGCCTTAATTTAAGAAGTTTGTAGGAAAGCTATAGGATTATGAGGAATCTGAAAACCAATTTATATGAGGAATTTTTAAAACATTTCAGTATTTATTCTAAAAAAGAGAAGACTTAGGTGTGGGACAAGGTGGAAACATGTTGCCCTTCAATCGTTTAAAGGGCTTTCTTCTGAAAGAGAAGGAAATATTTGTGCAGCTCTTGTGTCAAAGTTGTAGGGATTGATTTCAGCTCAAGATAAGGAAAAATCCTTGTAAACATTTAAATTGTCAAATCATCCCATAGGCTATTTTTTTAAATGGTGATTTCTCTGTTGTTGTAGTGTTCAAACAGACACTTGTTTGTATTTGTCAGAGAAACATGCATAGGATTTCTGAATTAGAAAGGTCTTTGGATTAGATGATCTGTAAGATTACTTTTTTTTTTTCCCCACAAAAGGAAACAGCCCAATTTTCAGTTCTCTTCTTAAAAGTGTTTTATAAAAATTCAAATTATAGCTCAACATTTAAGTGATTTTAAAAAAAATCACATTCCTTAGAAGCTTAATTTTTTTTTTTAGTTAAAAAGAGTATGGAAACAGAAACCAGTTAGGAGTCCATTTCATTAGCCTAGATTAGGGATAATAATGTTTGAACTTGTGTGATGGCAGAGGTTGTGAGAAGTGGTTAGGCTTGGGATACATTTTGCAGGTAGAGCTAACAGGTTGCAATGATAGGTAGATTGACCTAAGATAGTGAGTGGTGACATGTTTATTTTGAAATACAGACAGAAGTAAGCTTGGAAGGGAGTGGGGAATAGATTCTGTTTTGACTGTCTTAAGTTGCATTTTATTGCTGAATTTAAGAGTACAGAGAGATTGTTAACCAGAAGTATTTTCCTTTTTTTTCCCCCCCCAGTAAATGCTGCTACTATTCTTTTGGGAGTGGAGAATCAACATAAAATAAGTGTTCCTAGAGCACCTACAAAAGATGAAATGTCTCTCAGAGCTTATACTGCTCGGTGTAGGTTGAATAGATTACGTCGTGCAGCATGCTGTTTATTTACTTCTGAAAAAATGGTGAAAGCTATTAAAAAGCTTGAAATTGAAATTGAAGCTAGGCGGTTAATTGTTCGAAAAGATAGACATCTCTGGAAAGATGTGGGTAAGAAGACTGCAGAAATCTTGAGATTCATTCTTTAAAAACACTGTAGATTTTATATTTCTTATTTTCCCCAGCTTTTTGAGGTATAATTGACAAATAAAAACGGTATGTATTTAAGATGTAAAGCATGATGTTGGTATATTTATACACTGTGAGATAATAGCCACAGTCAAGCTAATTAACATATCCATCACCTCACATTGTTAACTTCCTGTGTGGGGGGGGGGGGTGAGAACTTTTAAGAAGTGCTTTCTTAGCAAATTTTAAATATCCAATACAGTATTATTAAATATAGTCACCATGCTGTACCATAGATCTCCAGAATTTATTCATCCTGCATAACGGAAACTTTTACTCTTTGACCAACACCACCCAATTTCCCATGCCCCAGCCCCCGCCTTTTTCTCTGTTTCTATGAGTTCCACTTTATTTTAGAGTCCACATGTAAATGAGATCATATAGTATTTGTCTCTCTGTCCATAGCTTATTTCACTTAGTATAATGATTTCCAGGTCAGCCATGTTTTCATAAATGAAACAATTTCCTTCTTTTGCAAGACTGAATAATATTTCATCGTGTATATATAACCACATTTCTTTATCCATTCATCTGTTGCTGGATCTTGGCTATTGGGAATGGTGCTGCAGTGAACATGTGGGTGCAGATATCATTTCAACATGCTAATTTCATTTCCTTTGTGTATATACCCAAGACATTTTGTATTTCAAAAGTAAATATACATATTTTAGCTTTACTGCCTGAAATCTCACATACTTGACTATGATCATAAATATTTAGGAATAGAAGTGTATTTATTTATTTATTTATTTATTTGTCTTTTTTGTGGCCGGCCGCACCGCACTCAGCCAGTGAGCGCACCGGTCATCCCTATATAGGATCCGAACCTGCGGCGGGAGCACTGCGGAGCACCGCACTCTCCCTAGTGCACCACAGGCTCGGCCCAGAAGTGTATTTCATTTAAATTATTTTATATAAGCCATTATTGGTTTTTTCCCATTGATAACCCCTCCATGAAGTTTTATTTATTGTCTTCATTTGATTAGCAGTCTAAGCTTACTTGCTTTTGCCCATGCATTTCAGGAGAACGCCAGAAAGTTCTGAATTGGCTGTTGTCATATAATCCTTTGTGGCTTCGAATTGGCCTAGAGGTAAGCATAAGTTTTAATTTTTGAAAATGATGTATATTTTTTTATTATATGTTTTTAATAGAATAGATTCTAGTAAAATATGGTTTTACTTATAAAAGTTATAAAGTCATTTGGTTAGCTTGACTTATCTTTCAGTATAAAATGTGAGGTCCATTAATAAATGCTCATTAGGTACATGAGCATGTACATTAGGCCATGCCATTATATGTTATTGCCATACTGTTAAATAGCAATTTACCTGTATAATATCTTAAAAATACATCATTTGGTGCTGGATGTAATGATAACTATAGTAAGTTCATTTTTAAACATTTACAAATGAAAAGGCTAAGCTATTTTAAATACTTTTTCTAATCTAAATCTGTTTAAAACCCAATGAGTTTACCTTTCCTGGCCTCAAGTAAAGAGAAAGTTAAAAAAACAAAAAACACAAACACCAGTGAGGTATGTGTTATTATTTCTGCTTCACTAATGAAACAGAAGCTTATATGTTAAGTGACTTGTCAAATGCCAGTGATTATTCAGGATTTGAACCCACACCAGTCTGATGCCAAAGCTCAGTCTTATCGTTTTGATGGAGTACTATTCATAAAAATGTCGTTGGGATTTGCATTATTTACATAGTACTTGGCTCAGTGATATCTAGACTGTTAAAACTAACTGAATTAGAAAGCTACAACTAGTAGTTAGCTGATAAAAATATGCTTTTATAAAAAGAATTCTTTGTTCTTCTCTTTCCTTTAGTCTTTTACTAGTATTCCTTTATATTTTTTCTAGGTTTCTTACCTTCCAAATGTGGGATCTCCCATTATTTCAGTTTATTTCAGGATTTGTAAAGAAGAGTCTTTGGGCGTAAAAGGGATCTTTGCAATACTCTGGCTTTTATGTACCAATAAATTGAAAACCAGAGAGAGCAAATAATAAGCTTACTGTAATCACACAGCTTTTTAGTGTCATTGCTATAACTTCTTATTTCAATTCCAGTACCCTTTCCCTTTCATTAGTCAGCAGATTGCATATCAACTGGCTCTGCTTCACATGTCAAATAATTCTGGAACCTTTTTTGGGGTGGGGGATGTACAGCTCACTGGTATAGGGACTGAACCCTGGACCTTGGTGTTATCAGCACCATGCACTAACCAACTGAGGTGACCAGCCAACTCTCCCCCCTTTTTTTTCTTTTTAAAATTTTTGGAACCTCAATTGAAGTAAAGCCTCCCTATTTGAGACACAACTTTTCTGTGGCAAAGGTAAAAAGCAAGAGTGTTAGGTAGCAACTTGTAATGCTTTTTAAAACTTCTGCTTAGGTGTAGAGTATTTCACCTCCACCCATGTTATATTGGCTAAAATACATTATTTTGCCAAGCATAAACTAGGCAGGAATGTACTAACCTCACATGAGACAAACAGCAGGTCTGTGGGAGGTGATGGGGATGTACAATCCTTTTCCAGGGAATGGAGGGTGAACAATTGTGAGCAATAAAACATTCTACCTCACTACCACATCTTAGGATTTTGAAAATGGTCATGACCTTTCAGAATTTTAAGATAGTTTCAGAAGCCAAAGAAAAGTAAATAAAGATGAATTTCTCTATTTTGTCAGATATTAATACTTTTACATGCTTTCATCTCTCTGTATTTTGTCAACGTAAGGTTACAGAATATAATTAGATGTGTTTATAGTTTTTTCTAATTGCTTTAAAAAAACATTTAATAGGCATGTTGGTATTAAACTAATTTTATTTTTAAGTCCTTGATTATAAATAGATCTGTGCTTCCCAAATTATTTTCTTAGATGATTTGCAGATGGTTTTCTACTTGTAACTATTAGGAAGTTTTGAATATTTAGGTTTCTGTTGTACTTTCATGATGTACTTAGTGGCACAGTTAGTTAAATTTGAACCTCAAGCCTATGTATATTTGATAGCTCTGTAACTTAAAGGAAAAAATTAAAACGTAAATATTGCTGTCAGATGATTAAGAATTTATGTTAATCCTGAGCTTTGTCTTTTTTCATTGTGGAGGATACCGTATACACTAAAAAATGCATAACGCATGTAAGTACAGTTTAAAGAGGTTATTCAGCAAATAACCATGTCGTTTTCATTCTATGTAGGAAATAGTACATTGCCAGTTTCTTAGAAGATCCTCGTCTGCCCTTCTCCAGTCACATCCCTTTACTTCTTAGAAATAGCATAATTCTGACTTTGGCTTTAATTTCTTCTTTTCAGACAGTTTATGGAGAACTCATATCTTTGGAAGACAACAGTGATATCACAGGGTTGGCTGTGTTTATTCTGAATCGCTTACTTTGGAATCCTGATATAGCAGCTGAGTATCGACACCCAGCTGTTCCCCATCTGTATAGAGATGGTAAGTGTTTCTGTCTACTGTGCATTCTCTCCATACTGTGCATAAATGGCTTCTTGTCATTCTTACTGGTTCTATTTGCATTTTTCTTTCTCAAACTAATCTCAATAGGTCTACTACCCTTTCTTCCTCCACCCCCATTATTTTCCATCGTTTTCTTCATCACTATTTATAATTATTCTTTCCTGTTTGTTTTCTCTACTTACCCTGTACCCCCACTAGGGCTCTAGGTCCTATGGGGATCATATGTGTTGTAGTTTGCTACTGTATATCTAGCACCTAGGATGTTGCCTGAATATAGTAGGTGTTCATTAATATTTGCTTTTGGGGAGTGATAGGTTGGGTAAAGGGCATAAAGAAAAAATCACGATTTGTAATAATGAATATGCTAATAATAAAAAATTAAAATTAAAAAATATTAAATATTTGCCGAGTATGACCAATTAAATCTCTTGATGTCTCTGTGCCTGTTTCCTCATCTATAAATTGGAAATATTAAATGGTACCTGTCCCATAGAGTTATTGTGAGAATTGAGTGGATTCATACTTGTAAAGCACTGAGAAAAGCACATACTGGTTTATTTATGCTCGACACTACTTTTTTTACTAGCACATTATTATTATCATATTTTAAGGTGAAACTTGCCTTTTACAGATTAACTTGCAGTGCTCTTTTGTACTTTATTTAAGGTCATGAAGAAGCTTTGTCCAAGTTTACATTGAAAAAGTTATTGTTGTTGGTCTGTTTCCTTGATTATGCTAAAATTTCCAGACTTATAGATCATGATCCTTGTCTCTTTTGTAAAGATGCTGAATTCAAGGTATAGTTTTTATTTTCTGTTTTATATTTCATTTTTCCCATTTAAGACATTTGCTTGCTATTATGTTATTTTTTCTATATAGAAAAATATTAGTTTTTCAAATAACAGTACTCTGGGGTAGAATAGGAATGACCGTCTCATTAGTCCTGTCAGTAATTCTAACAGTTCCTGACTTTAAGCACATTATCCTTATTCTTAATTTTGATTTAACAATAAATTAAATTATAATTCTGAGGAATTAATTGTTGGGGAAATTTTTTTCCTAATTTTGATGTAGTATATTATCAAATTAATGCTAGTTTTTGTAATGTATTATTATTAGTAATTTTTGAAAAGGTCTTAAATTGAAAATAACATGCAATTTCTATTATTACTGTTATACTATTAATTTTATTTTATATCTATATGTGCAGAATGATTTGAAGGATTTACTTTTATTGTAAACAAAATTATAATATGAAGTTATAATATATGCAACTTGTTTCTTTATAGGCTAGTAAAGAAATTCTTTTGGCTTTTTCACGAGATTTCCTAAGTGGTGAAGGTGACCTTTCCCGTCATCTTAGCTTATTGGGATTACCTGTTAACCATGTTCAGACACCATTTCATGAATTTGATTTTGCTGTCACAAATCTTGCTGTAGACTTGCAATGTGGAGTTCGTCTTGTGTAAGTATAAGAAATAGAATGTTTTGCTTAATGGAATAGACTAAAATTTTCTGGAAAACATCTTTTTCTGTACTTACATGATATTTCTTGCTCTTCCATGTAATGGAATAGATTTAAAGTTAAAATTTGGGATTTCTCTTTCAGAAAAATGGTGTTAATTTTATGCGTAGATACCTTGTCTCCTATCCATAATTTTATTCCTGCCAGCATGTGACTAGAGTCTGTGGATAAGAACTACTCACATTTCAGAATAGGAATTGCAGAGAACAGGAAAATTTCAAACATTTAAATAACACTTTATGTCAATAGTGGTTTAATGAGTTTCATATCATTTAAGACCATTTTTAGAAGTGGTAAGCTTGTTTTACATATGAGGAAAATAAGATGAAGTGGTAGAATGCCTTGCCCAAGTTTTACAGAGTGGAATTGAGACATAAACTCATGATGTCCCACTTCAGATTATAATATTTCCTCACTAACAAACTGGAGTGCTCAAAATTCGCTTTAGTATGAGTAGTGGGTTGCCAGTTTCTGATTTGGAAGGAATGACATTTAGGATATCTGGAGTGGAGACATTCGTTTTGTTTCTAGGAAACTCTCCAATGTATATTACGACCTTATCAAGGAAGCACATTTGGGATCAAAGAATGAGATATATTTAAAGCAAAGATTTGTTTGTTTGTTTTTTCTGTATTTAAGAAGTTGTTAAGCTTCAAAACAGCCAGTTAAACTTCAAAATATGGGAAGCACAGAGCTAATGGCCTTCACAAAATATCTCTTCTACAGTAAAGTTTTCTAACCTGGCATATTCTTGTCAGGTTTTAAATTGATTATCTTATAGCCTGAATATTGCAGGCAATCTTATGCAAAAATTAAAACTGTCAGAAAACTTAACTGAACAGGAAAGAATTTACTTGGATGCGCTTATTAACTTTTTTGTTTCAACCAGAGATATTTTTAGAGTATAAACTAAAACCCTTATTTCCATCTCTTATAGAGACCAGTTGAAGGAACTGAGAATATTTATTTATTTATTTATTGAAATGTAATTGATTGTACATATTTGTAGGGTACAGAGTTGAATATTAATACCTGTGTACAATGTTAGATGATCAAATAAGGAAAATTAGCACATTCACCATTACAAAATGTAATCATTTCATTGTGTTGAGAACAATTTGACCTCCTCTCTTCTAACCATTTGATAACATGCAGAAAGCTGATTTTAATTATAGCTGCCTAGCTCGACTGTAAATAGAACTTATTTTCCTAAATAGTTATTTTATGTCCATTAACCAATTTCTCTTAACCCCCCACCCCCTTTCCTGCCTCTACTAACCACACTTCTGTTCTCTCCTTCTGAAAGTTCAATGTATTATTGTGATTATTGTTTCCTTATTTCTTCGTCTTTCTTTCTTTGTGTCTCTTTCTTTCTCTCTTAATCCTTTTCTTTCTTATTTATTTTTAGCTCTTACTTATCTGTGAAGATATGCAGTGTTTCTTTTTCTGTGCCTGGCTTATTTCATTTAACATAATTTTCTCTAAGCTCATTCATGTTGCTGTGAATGGCAGAATTTCATTCTTTTTTATGGCTGAATAGTGTTCATTGCATATATATACCACATTTTCCAGTCATCCATTGATGGACATTTAGGTTGGTTTCATATCTTGGCTATTGTAAGTAGACCTGAGGTAAACACAGGAGTGCAGGTATTCTTTTGAAATGATGATTTCATTCCTTTGGGTGTATACCCAGCACTGGGATTGCTGGATCATATGGTAGTTCTATCTGTAATTTGAGACACCTCCATCCTGTTTTCCATAACGGCTGTACTAATTTACAGTCCTACCAACAGTGTAGAAGGGATCCCTTTTCTCCACATCCTTGCCAGTATTTGTTATTCTCTTTTAGATAATAGCCAGTCTAACTGGGGTGAGATGATATCTTAATGTAATTTTGATTTGTATTTCACTGATGATTAGTGATGTTGAGCATTTTTTCATGTACCTGTCAGCTATTTGTATGTCTTCCTTTGAGACAGCTCCTTTGCCCAATTTTTAATCTAATTATTTGTGGGGGGTTTTTTTACTGTTAAGATATTTGAGTTTCTTGTATATTCTGGATATTAATCCCTTGTCAGATGTATAGTTTGCAAATATTTTCTCCCATTCTGTGGGTTGTCTTTTCACTCTTGTTGATTGGTTTCCTTTGCTGTGCAGAAGCTTTTTAGTTTGATATAATTCCATTTGTTTATTTTTTCTTTTGTTGTTTGTGCTTTTGAGGTCTTATTCATGAAGTCTTTATCCATCCGTACATCCTGAAGTGGTGTTTCTTCTGTGTTTTGTTCTGGGAGTTTTATATTTGCAGGTCTTTTATTTAAGTCTTTAATCCATTTTGAGCTAACTTTGGTATATGGCAGAGGTAAGAGTCTAGTTTCATTCTTCTGCATATAGATGTCCAATTTTTTCAGCATCATTTTTAAACAGGCTGTCCTTTTCGCAATGTATGCTCTTGTCACCTTTGTTGAAGATCAGTTGGCTATAAGTATGTGGATTGATTTCTGGGTTTTCTATTCTGTTGCATTGGTCCATGTGTTTGTTTTTATGCCAGAACCATGCTGTTTTACTATAGCTCTGTAGTATAATTTGAAATCAAGTAATGTAATGCCTCCAGCTTTATTTATTTACTTATTTTTTGCTCAGGATTGCTTTGGCTATCCAGGGTCTTTTAGTGTTCCATATGAATGTTAGGATTGTTTTTTTCTATTTCTCTGAAGAATGTCATTGGTAGTTTAAGGAGATTGCATTGAATTTGTAGATTGCTTTAGGAAGTACAGACATTTTCATTACATTAATTCTTCTAGTTTATGAACATGGAATTTGTGTCCTCTTTTATGTCTTTCACCAGTGTTTTATAGTTTTCACTGTAGAGATCTTTCATCTCCTTGTTTATTACAAGGTATTTTATTTTTTGGCAACTATTGTAAATGGACTTCATTCGTGATTTTTTTTTTTTTTCTACTAGTTCATTTTGGTGTGTAAAAATGCTGCTGAGTTTTGTATATTGGTTTTGTGTGTGTGTGGTTTTTTAATCCATTCAGCCAGTCTGTGTCTTTGAGTGGAGAATTCAATCCATTTTCATCTAGGCTTGTTATTTAAAGTATTGTCTTATTAGCATTTTATTGATGTTTGTATGGTTGTTTTACATATCTTATCTTTCTTTCACCTTATTGCTCATCTTAGGTGTTCTTTGTTTTTTTGAGGTTGTATGTTATAGTTTCTTTCTCTTTCTTGTTTGCATATCTGCCTTACCAATGCCATTTGTTCCCTCTCATGTATTCATGGTGGTGATTGACGTTCTTTGGGTTTCAGGTGCACAGCTCTCGTAAAGCTGGTTGTGTGGTGTGGTGAACGCTTGGAAATACACTATTTCCCCTTCATTTCTGAAAGATAGCCCTCTGGGTATAGCATTCTTGGCTTGCAGTTTTTTCCTCTTAGTACTTTGAATATATCATCCCATTCTCTTCTGGCACATAGGGTTTCTGATGAGAAATCTGCTGTTAGTTTGATGGGGATTCCCTTACAGGTGACTTGATGCTTTTTTCTTCCTGTTTTTAGGATTCTCTCTTTGGCTTTGACTTTTGACAGTTTGATTACAATGTGTTTCAGAGAGGACCTTTTGGGTTGAATATGTTTGGAGATCTTTGAGCCTCTTGGATCTGGAAGTCTCTGTCTCTCCCAGTACCTGGGAATTTTTCAGCTATTATTTCATTGAATTGAATTCCTTTTCCTTTCTCTTTCCCTTCTGGAATAGTTTAGATGGTTGTATGATTAAAGTTGTCTGGTAGCTTTCTTAGATTTTCTTAATTTTAAAAAATTCTTTTTTTTTTTCCCCGCTTGGATTATTTTGAAAATACTGTCCTTGAGATCAGGAATTCTTTCGTCTGCTTGCTCTATCCTGTTGCTTAAGCTCTTAGTTGTATTTTTTATTTTGTTGAAAGAATCATTCAAAGAACTGTGAATATTTACAGTAACACAAGGGTACTTAAATAGTTCATGGAAAAATAGAATAAAAAGTTTATATGAATCTTTAAATGAACTTTTTGAAGACTTTCACAGAAGAGAGAATTCTGGGACATAAAGCCTTCAGATATTTGAAAGGCTTACTTATGCTATAAAGTGATTAAAATGTTTATTACCAAGCAGAATAACCATTCATGAACAATAAAAGCTTCAGAAAGATGAATATTGGTTAGATATAAAATCTTGCCAATATTCAGACCTGCCCTTGGGAAGAAACCAGCTCACAGTGTTGGAAGGTTTAAACAGAGGTCAAAGGACTGCTTTGCCAGAAGGCAGGAATTCTTTGCCATTTATGAGGAAGAGATTCCTAGATTTTTATGAATCCCCAGTTTTTCAAAAACAACATACATGTCCCTTTTTTTCCTTCTAAGTTAAATTTCTGTGAACATTCCTTTCTTTCCTAATCAATATTCTTACGAGTTAATAGTCTTTTGAACATTATCAGAGCTTTGTCTCACTTGAGTAGTTTCCGTACAGGCTAGATCATTTGGTAAAAGTATATCCTGTGTTACTTTTATATTTAGTTAATTTGTTTATTTTATAAATTCAAACCACCATATCTTTTTTGTGGCCAATAGGAATTTATGTTTTCAGACTTTTTCTACTTTCTAGGAGCAAGGATTTGTTTAATATTCAGTGCTATTTTTCCACAAAGACAGACATTTTTTATGCCTTTAGAGGAGTTACTGATGACTTAGCAATGTCTGATATTCATGATATGTAGTTGGTTATCAACCCTCAGCAGATAAGAGACTCAATCTTGCAATCCAAATTTCCATTTTGTTGACTGTCAGCAAAATGACTATATTATAGACTTTGAGGTCACTTTAGAATACTTCAGAAAGGTTACTCCACTAATGCCAAGGGTAATGGGTTGGTGTACTGTTGCAGAATTATTTCCTACATTGATTGGGTGCTGTGCATAGAATGATCTTTAAGTCATTTCATAACCTTTAGAAACTATGGCTCTGCGAAGAATTCTACAAACTTTTAGTTACATACAGTAATCAGTTGGTGTTTGCTTTTTCTGTGGTTATTGACTATTGTCTAGTGAATGAAATACTAGTGACCTAGATGATTCAGACCTAGGGGCCTGAATTTGAACTCTGGTGTACACATCTATTTTAGGTATGCACTCAAATATCTTTCTTATAATCTGGTATGTATATATAAGAGAATGACTACGGGAACTGATAAAACTGGATTTTAGTTCTCTTCTTTGTTCTGTCATTACTACCTATATGACCGTAGGCAAGTTACTTAACTTCTATGGGCCTTGGTTTCTTCATCTGCAAAAAATGGGCTCACCATACCTGATTGTGGGATTTACCATGACTAAAACAAGAAAACAACGTACTTGTTTGATGTGTAGAATATAATACACCTCAGTCCCCTCTTCTCTCTCTCCTTCCCTTTGGTCTTTCCTTCTGTGTAGAATGCTGTTATTTTGTTCACATGTGCATTTACGTATGTCTCAGTTTTTCTTTCTTTTTATCTGTTCATAGCCTTCAACCCACAGACTTAAAATGAGAAATAACTCTAATTGCTGACTATTCAATAACAGAGTTTTGAGAGCTTTTTGAGGTCCTTTTGACCTTAAAGCCCTTAAACTATTGGGATTTACGTGGATAATAACTATATTTAAATAAAGGTTATTTTTCATACATGTTTTTACCTAGAAATTTCATCTGAAAATTTCATTATTGCTAGGCGAGCCATGGAACTTCTCACAAAGAACTGGAATCTCTCAAAAAAACTCAGGATTCCTGCAATAAGTCGTCTACAAAAGATGCACAATGTGGACATTGCTCTTCAGGTTCTTAAATCACAAGGAATTCAATTACATGATGAACATGGTAAACACTGAATAGACATAAAAATTATTCTCACTGAATATTGATATTTACCTATATTGTGCTAAGGAACTGTCTTTTCATTTGTAGGAAATACAATTCTATCTAAGGATATCGTGGATAGGCATAGAGAAAAAACTCTTGCATTGCTTTGGAAAATAGCATCTGCTTTTCAGGTATTCTGTATTCAGTACATTTTGCACTTTTTATCAATTTCATTTACTGATTCATAAAAGCAATTTGTGGGGTGTGTATTTTGTCCCAGGAACTGTGATAATTGCTTTATATATATTTCAATATAATCTTTGCCATACCCCTACAAGCTAGGTGAGGAAACTGAAGCTGAAGTTTACATCATTGATAAGAAGTGGAGCTGAAATTAGCACCCAGCCTTCTGTGGCCTGAAATCCCATTTTCTTAACTGCTAAACATTCTGTCACTTCTATGTAGATTGTGTTTGCCTATTTTTAAAAACGTGGATTTTCATGATAAAATATACATTTGGGGCACTTTGTTTTCTTAGACTTTTAATACTTCTGACTATATTTTTCAGTCTCTACAGTTTCTCTGAATAGAGGACAGTCACTCTAATTTCTGTGGGTTCAAAATAATATATGGAAAATATAAATGTATTTATTCTTGTGCATTTCAGGTGGATATTTCTCTGAATTTAGATCAATTAAAGGAAGAAATTGACTTTCTAAAACACACACAGAGTATAAAGAAAACAATGTCTGCACTATCGTGCCTTTCTGATGCTGTCATTAATAAGAAAAAAGACAAAAGGAATGGTGGATCCTTTGAGCAACATAGTGAAAGCATAAAGTTACTGATGGAGTGGGTAAATGCTGTTTGTGCCTTCTATAATAAAAAGGTAAATTTCATTGTTTTTGTTTTAACCCAGTATTTTTAAATAGATTTTAATGAAAGTTAATTTAATTTAATCTTTTTTTGCATTTCTTAAATAATTTAGATTATAGATGTAAGCAAACTTTTCCTCAAATGAGTGAGTGTATTGTCATATACCGTATTTCATCTAATCTAAGATGTCACCAAATTGTACAATGCACAATAATTTTATTTATCACTAAGAAAGAAGTTGCCCTAGTCTTAATAGAAGATCCTTACATAGAACTGGGACACAAAAGGATTTTATAACCTTATTATAAAGGTAAATGCAAATAAAACCACCAAGCAGAATAGGACAATGGAGAACCTTACCAACTGGGTAGAGGGAGGAAGAAAAAACAAAATTAAGTTAAATCTTCCTGTAATCATTTGTTAGATTGCTACTGTATTTCTGTATGAGATGTACTTTTAAGTGTAAATAGGTGAAAAAAACTGTTCTGGCACTTGGGTAAGGAATATAAAATAGGAACAGTGATACAGAGTACATGTAACTAAATGTGGTAAACTGTTACACCTTGAAGAAGCTGTTAGGAGAAAAATTGTCAAATATATGGATAATCTTCTATGTTTTAGCTAAGTACTGGAGAGCCGAAGAAGATACAGTTGATTTCTGTTATTCTTGGATTCCATATTTGAAATTTGCATACTACTAAAATTTACTTCTAATGCCATTGTCCATACTGGTGGCATTTTGTGGTCATTTGCTGATGTGAAAATGCCAAGGCACTTATTCTTAGAACACTCTGCCTTCTTGTTTCAGCTCTCATACATAAACAAGTGTGCTTTTCCTGGCCTATTTTGTGCCGTGGTTTTTGCACTTTTCTGCTTTTTGTTGGTGACTTTCCCATTTAAATGGCCCTCAAGTGTAAGGCAGAAGCACTTGTCTAGATTCCTAAGAGAAGACTGTGAGGAGCCATATGCAGAAAGTGTGTGTGTTATGTAAGTTTCATTCAGGCATGAATTATAGCTCTGTTGGCTGTGAGTTTAATGTTATCAAATCAGAAGCACACATAAAACAAGGTCATATATTGGTTGATGACAATGTTGTGACCAGGGGCTCATAGGAACATAACCCTGTATTTCCCTTATGAGCAATGGTTCAGTATTTGCTAATTCAGTGTTCACAAACAATGGGAATTGACTATAATTGTAATTTCTTAAGACTGCCATGACAGATTACTACAAATGGGGTGGCTTAAAATAGAAACTTATTCTCTCACAGTTTTAGAGGCTAGAAATCAGAAATCAAAGTGTTGGCCAGGCCATGCTCTCATTGAAGGTTCTAGGGTAGACTCTGTTCCATGCCTTTCTTTTAAGTTCTGGTGGTTGGCAGCAATCACTGGCATTCCTTGGCTTATAGATGCATTAGTCCAGTCTCTCCCTCTGTCATCACATGGTGTTCTTCCTGTGAGTTTGTTTCTGTGTGTCCTGTTCTTATAAGGATCTCAGTCATATTGGATTAAGAACCTACCCTCTGCCAGTATTACCTCACCTTAATTAAATCTGTAATAACCCTATTTCCAAATACGGTCACATTCTGAGGTTCTGGGAAGGATGTGAAATTTTGAGGGGCACTATTCAACCTAGGACAGTGATGTTATAATCAAATCCTACTTTTGGAATGGTTAGTATTTCATAATTGACAATTAGGCTATGAATATGTTATTATACTAGGTTCTGTTAGCAACTGGTATGATATTCTTAGCTATTAAAAGGAAGTAAGAGACTACAAAACCATTGTATCTATATTACTATCTAACTACAGTTGATTATTTTTCTGCTATTTCTCATCAGGTAGAGAACTTTACAGTGTCCTTCTCAGATGGCCGTGTGTTATGTTACCTGATCCACCACTACCACCCATGCTATGTGCCTTTTGATGCTATATGTCAGCGTACTACCCAAACCGTGGAATGCACACAAACTGGTTCAGTGGTGTTAAATTCATCATCCGAATCTGATGATAGTTCTCTAGATATGTCTCTTAAGGCATTAAATCATGGTTAGTCCTTTTTTGTTAATTAATTTTTCCAATTCTTTGCCATGTCTGAGTTTTGGCTACTGCAGACTAATTTCTGTCTTTCACTTGCATAATAGAAAATACTTCAGAACTGTACAAAGAGCTCCTAGAAAATGAAAAGAAAAATTTTCATTTGATTAAATCTGCAGTTAGAGACCTTGGTGGAATACCTGCTATGATTCATCATTCAGATATGTCAAATACAATTCCAAACGAAAAGGTAAGTAAATGAAGAGTTTCTTTTAATAATTCTTAATAAGATTTTCAGAAGATGATGATAAGTTGTGTTTCCTTGTTGATGTTCTGTCTTCATCTTTTATGTTTTGTCTTAGGTGGTTATTACCTATTTGTCATTTCTTTGTGCAAGGCTTTTGGATCTTCGCAAAGAAATAAGAGCTGCTCGGCTTATACAGACAACATGGAGAAAATATAAACTAAAAATAGATCTAAAACGTCATCAGGTACTCCTAGAAAAGGAAAACAGCATAGTGTGAATTGTGCTTCATAGATGCCAGTTGATTGATTCTTGATATGATTTTACATTTTACTGAAAATGATGTTATTGAGATAAATTTAATAAGTGTGTGTATGTATTTGGGGTTGGCTGAGTGTGGATATTTCTCCCTAATTTCTGTTTCCTTTATTTGATATATCTTCCAGGCTATAGGGAAGAGGAATAACTTATCTGCTTTGTAAATTTGTGAAGAATGAACTAGGGATGCTTGACTCAGCTCTTCCCTTCTTCCTACTGGAATCTAGCCTGCCTCCAGGGAGCAGGAGTTTTCCATTAATTTTTCATGCTGTGCTCTGTGAGGTTTGACCTCAACCAGTGCTGCTTGGGCCTGCACATCAAATGTCTGATTTTGTGGTTCAATTAGGATGCTCATTTTTTTTTTAAATTTTTATTTTTTTACAATTAAACCATCTCCTGGTGTCATTTATTAGTTTTAAAAGTGGCATTTTGGTTTCTATTGTTCTATTTTTCAAAATGTTTAGAATCTGGGTACAGGGATAAAGATGTTGTTAATTGTTTCCCTTTGTGACCCCAACAGTAAAAAATTTTTTTTCTTTAATTCTGAGAAAAATATCATTTTTTAAAATTTATTTATTGATATTATTTTTTTAGATTCTAAGATGTGGAACAGTTGTGGGGAAGAGATGAAGGGAAGGGGAAAGGAAATAGGGTTGGAGGACTAAAAAGCGGGGGTGTGGTTGAGGTTTGTGTCACACCTCTCATTCTAGCAGAGGGGACCAGAGGGGTTCTGGTGGCAGCTCAGTGGTTGTTGCTGGACTGGTTATAGTTGTTGGGATAGTGTGGCTGAAGCCCACGGCCCTTCCTGCTCCCAGGCTTGGGAGCCCAGGGAGCTTCCTGTCCTTCTAGGTTTTGTAGTAGGTGTTCTTGGTGGTGTTAGACCTTTACTAGTTAATATCAGACTTTGTCTCTGATCTGTGGGTATTTTGTTTTTTCTTTCAGTTCTGTGTTGGATTATTCTCTATTCCTACCACTTAAACTCCGTACTGGAACTGATTTGTTGTCTTTTGCTTACTTCTAAAATGGGGGATCTTCATGTGGGGACCAGCACTTGATCCCTGTAGTTGAGCTAAGTTGCTGCTTTGCTGCTGATCCCTGGGGAAGCCTTTTTGTGTAGCTCAGTTTTTAATTGTTGACCTTGTATGTACTTATAGGTCTTGTGAGGTCTGGAACACCTGGGTTGTGTGGAAACTCTGGTTTGGGCCTGAGTCTTTTCAGCAAACTGTACCCCCTGCAGTTCTATATTCCTGACCAGTCTCCACTGAGTGGACCTAAACTGTTTGGGGACAGATCAGCTGACCATGCTGTGCCACAGTGTTCCCCTGGTGGCCCTTCTCCCCCCCGACCCATGCTCCAAACATTTCCCATGGGGTGGGCCGTGCAGCAGTCCCTTGTGATGACTCACCAGCCTCTAAGTGGCTCCTTCTTTCAGTTGTCTGTGGCTTCTCGCTGCTATGTGGGTCCACAGGAACTCTGTTCGTGGTCTTGCTAGCCTGGGGGCCACCAAGGCCCTCTTCTCCCCTGCCTCCTCCAAGCAACTTCCTACGAAGGTCACAGCTGTGCCTTTTGCCACCTCTTGCTCTGTGAAGCCTTGAAGTGGCTGATGATTTAGAAATAGGCTCCATCTGGTATCGCTCCTCAATTTTGAATTACAAAGCATTTATGATAGAGTTCTTAGTGACTGAATAAACATGTAAATTTTGGTATTCTTAAACCATATCAGACTTGGAAACAACACTAGTGGAAATAATTTGCTCTTGTCCACTCAAAGTTTTTGTACTAACTTTTGGAAAATGAGTAGGATCTTACACGCGTAAATGGTCTTCTCTGCTTCTACATATGCTTTGTGTCCCGTCCTCCTCAGGAGCTGCCTCCTTGCCCACAAATCACTTGCAGGTTAATAGTACTGTTGGAAGGTTGTAGGAGAATTATTTTAAGAAAGTTTTCAGGAAAAACTATCTCCTGGCCAGTTATTTGATTCATTCTTTTCATATGTCATTAAACGAGAGTTTTATAATTACGAGAAACAGATATCAATCAGAATATGAGGGTACTTCCAAAAGTTCTTGGAAAAATGTAATTTAAAAAATAATGAGAATCTTTCCATGAACTCTTTGAAGACCCTTTGTGTGTATGTATAAGTATATATAGTGCTTTATTTTCTGCTCAAGAGAGCCTTGTAGTAATCAGATTTTAACTGTAGAATTTTGTTAGCTTTTTGCTGGTGAGATTTCTTTTCTTGATTTATTTCTTTAGTACAAATAGTGGAAATTTATCTGTTTTTGAAGGACTAAATTAAAAGAAGTTTCTATACCTATGATTAAACTTCATTGGCCCAATCTGACCACTGTTTCTCTCCTTTCTCTTGGTGACAATACGTCTTTTATATAATTACACTAACATCCAATTATATCTTCTCATTTTCCATTTAGAACATTAAGCAGTGGGCTCCCTGTATATCCTAGTAGAAATATTACAAGCTAGTAGGCATATATACATTATCTTAAGATAGCTGTTTTTTAGGTTTTATATTTTATTTTTATGCAATTGTTATAATTTATGTAAACTATCCATTAATAACGGAGAGGCTGAAGCTTTCATAGTGACAAAGAAACATTGGCAAGTAATCAGAATTACCTGATGAGTTATCCGAGAATTCCCTCACACATTCTAGCTCTCAGTTTTTCCTGTCAACAGATAGCCATAAACTAGGCATAATGCAAAGTAAATCCTAGTATTTGGCCCATATGTGAGGCAAAATAAAAGAAAGAATGACTAGCTAGGTCCACAGCAGTGTGGGATTAAGAATGACGATACACAGTCTTACTTAGAGAAGGGTCAGTGACTGCAGGCATAGAAAATGTTAGCATCAGCTCATGTGAGTTTTCAAATAGTTGCTAATTTTTGTACTATACGTGCCTTCTTGAATTTATTTACTTTCTGTCTCTAGCTTCTCTAATGTCACATAAAGTTGTTGCATTTTGATTTGCTTGAGGTAGAGATGATCTTAAAACTGAGATGTGAATTTAAATTCACCTTAGCCTATTTGGTCCAGAATGCCCCTAGCCCCGATAACTTTTGGCCCAAATGCTATACACTTTTGAACTGCATCATTTTTTAAAAAAATTATTTATTTATTTATTTATTGACTAATAGGGGTGTGTTTTTAACGTGCATCTCTGTAGCCCTATAGGCCATAGGTTTCCCAGGGACACTGACACTGATGTTAGAAGGCTTAATCTACTTGTGATACATAATTCCCCTAGACCAATTTTAGAACTGTCTAGTCTTTTCTCCTCCGAGGAGTGATCCAGTATGGCCCTTACCATTCCTTAGTATTTGTTTCAATATGTTGATTACTTTTTTCAAATGTTAGAATAATAATTTGATCCCTTCCATTGTTGTGTTCCCATATTGTGCAGCCTCCAGTCACAGATACCATCCACTGATTGTTATTAATTATTAATTAATAATTAGAATCTATAGTTAATCTTTGTGTAGAGCCCACCCTTGCGTGCTAGACTGTCCCAGGCATCAACATAAAAGGTTGTCAGACATGCTATAACTTGTTCCTTTCCACCAGAGGAAATAACTCATATTCTAGTGTCCAGTGCAGGTGAAGTAAAGTGATAAATCTAGCCTTGGACAGTATAGTAAAGTGATTAAGGGCATGGACTCTGAAGCCACACTTTCTGGTTCTGATCCTGCCTATGCTGTCAGTAGACTAACAAGCCACTTGACCTGTCTACCTCAGTTTCCTCATGGTAATAAGAGTAGTATCTTCTCATTAATTTTTATGGTTGTTGTGAGGTTTAAGCATGTCTTTCATGAAATGTTTAGAATGGTGCCAGACATAAAATATGTTATCCCTCACAGGAGCATTATCAGAAATACCAGAAACAGAGATATGGAGGGGGGCAGTGTTCTCTACTGTTCCCAGGGCAGCTGGCTCCTCTTTGACAACTGATGCCATTTTGCATCTCAGATACCACTTCTCACAACTCGAACTATACTCTGTTCTCTTAAGCCTCCATGGCATAATGCACAACATATTCTGTGCTGAAGGAAGAGGTTTTTTTTTTTCTTCTTTTGTGTATTGCTTTGTTCAAATTGTAACAAAGCAATACTACGTTGAAAGCATTTTTTTCCTCATCCAATGCACCCCTTTCCTAAAAGTCAAGCATGAATTCAGTGGACCCAAATTCGGTGGACCCAAATAACAATACCATGTTACATGTCAAATTGTCTTTATCTTGATTGAATTTATGATAGATCGAACATGTCTGTGATCTTTATCTTAGAATATTTTTTAGGAATCTATGTTTCATCATGCAAATATATTTGCAAGCCCACCTATCAGCCATTTCCACATCCCCAGAAGTATCTATAATTTCAAAGATGAATACAAGAAGCCTTGGACTGTTTTCAGGATCAATTTGATTAATGTTTAACAGCTAATTATCTTATAAAGAATAATTTAAGGTCTTAAGTGATTAAATGTTTAATTCACATTTGCTGATTATCTTTTTTTTTTTTAAAGGAGAGAGACAAAGCTGCAAGGATTATTCAATCAGCTGTAATCAATTTTCTAACTAAGCAACGATTGAAAAAAGAGGTTAATGCAGTGCTGTTCATTCAGAAATTTTGGCGAAGAGTTTTAGCACAGAGAAAATTATTAATGTTAAAAAAGGAAAAACTGGAAAAAGTTCAAAATAAATCGGCCTCAGTTATTCAGGTATAGTATCCTGAATTAATTTTTAAATTAAAAAAAAATTAATGACTTTTTTAGGAAAGGGCAAAATTTGATAAAGTTTTCAATGAAAATATTTCAGCATTCTTTCTCTAATATTTAATTTAACAAATAGTTAACACCTCCTTACTTCCTGCAAAACTCTTTGCTGTATTCAGCATAAACCTAAAACATAAGGAACAAATGTTCTAATTCTATATCCCTTTCTGTCTTAGTTGTTCTGTATTAGAGGTTTGCTGTCTTCCACTCTATGAGACATGCTGGCATACCATACCATTCTTCTATGTATATCCATATACCCACCAAGTTTTCTTTTTTATCGTTTTTGTGAGTTTTACAAACTTACATTTTGGGACAAATGTACACATTTTTCTCTTTAGCCCACTTAGCTGGCACATAACAGTGCTTGTAATTAGTTTGTAGAAAGCCTATGTCATTTTTTCTAGTAAAAAATATGTAACATATCTACTTTACATAATAGATTTGTTACTTACATCTATATAAATTAGTTTTTTATGTTAAATTTTATTTTAACAACATTAGAAAGTTGTGCTATTTCAATTTATCCTTTGGGCGGGTGGGGCAACATGACAGATTTGAGGTGCCCAATGTGCGATCCTCCCACAGAAAGACCAGAGCAAGGAAGCATTGGTGGCAGAGTGTGGGAGGGCAGCAGGGGTGTGAACATGAAAACCAAGCAGGGTAGGCATAGAGGAGAAAGAGGCATGAGGCCTTAGCCATTACCATGTGTCTGACACCAGGATCAGCCAGGAAGAATTCTCCCATGCAGCAGAAAGAATCTCCTGGGTCATGATCACCTCCCAGCAGTAACCTTCCTCCTTTTCCTGCCCTAGCCTGCCCCTTCCACCAGTACAGTAGCCTGTGTCATTGTCTAGTTCCACAGCCGTGGCCCTTCTCCCCACACAGGAGTTCATCCTGCGCAGCACACCCCATCACATAGCCCACACTGCCCACGCAGTGCTGGTCATCTGCACAGCTCCTACCTTCCAGCTCTCTGTGCTGCCCTGGCCGCCCATGTTACCCCAACAGCCCAGCTATCTGTGTGGCCCTACCTACCCACCTGGCCCCAGCCTCCCTAGACACACAGGCAGCCCCACCCACCATGTGGACCCAGCTGCTCTGACCACCCATGCAGCTCCAGACATCTAGCTGCCCATGCAGTCCCGTCCATCATATGCACCCACACAGCCCCATCCACCTGTGTGGGCCTAGCTGCTTACGTGGCTCCAGCCCACAAACATAGCTGCTGGCACCCCCCAGAACAACTGAGTCTACTTGGAATAACTGAGTCTACCCAGAACCAAAACTAAAACACCCTACCCATTGGATAATATATAACATCTACAGGAGGGAGGCTCTCTCCTCAAAAGCCACCCCAGAGTAATGGAAGAAACTGCTCCACGAGACATCAGTATAGGGATACTAGAAATATTAAATAATAAGAAAATATGACACTACTAAAGGAATACCATAATTCTCAACTACCAGATCCCAAACAACAGGAAAAACTTGAAAGGCCTAAAAAGGAACTCCAAGTAATAATCTTAAAGAAACTGTCAAATAACACAGTCTGTCAGACTCAGATAACACAATGAAATAAGAAAAAGGTCCAGGACATGAAGGAGGAAACTTACAAAGAGATAAATACCATGAAAAGAATGTAGCAGAACTCCTAGAGCTAAAAGACTCATTCAATGAAATAAAAACTACAACTGAGGGTGTAAGCAGCAGGCTAGAACAAGCAGAGGAAAGAATTTCTGATCTTGAAGACAGTCTTTTTGAAATAACCCAAGCAGATAAGAAACAGAAAAAATTTTTCAGGTATTGGGAGATAGAGGGGCTCAAAGATCCTCAAACAGATTCATTCCAAAAGGTTCTCTCTGAGATACATTGTAACCTAACTGTCAAGAGTCAAAGCCATAGAGAGAATCCTAAACACAGCAAGGGTGAAAGCATCAAGTTACCTATAAGGGAATCCCCATCAGACTAGTAGCAAATTTCTCAGCAGAAGCCCTACAGGCCAGAAGAGAATGGGCTGATATATTCAAAATACTAAAAGAAAAAAACTTCCAGCCAAGAATGCAGTACCCAGCAAGGCTGTCCTTCAGAAATGAAAGGGAAATAGTGTATTTCCCAGACAGACAAAAGCTGCAGGAGTTCACCACTCAGCCAGCTCTACAAGAAATCCTTAAGGGAGTCCTGCACCTGGAACCCAAAAAATGACAATCACCACCATGAATACACAAGAAAGAACAAATACCACTGGTAGAACAGATACGCAAACGAGAAAGAGAAAAACTATACCATACCATCTCAAAAAAAAAAAAAAAAAAAAAAAAAAAAAACAACCCCACCCCCCCCAAAAAAAAAAAAAAAAAAAAACCCCCTGGAAAAACAAAAACGCAAACGAAAAAAAAAAAAACAATACCAAACCATCCAAAAAAAAAAAAAAAAAAAAAAAGAACACTGAAGACAATAAAAGGGAAAGAAAGGAACAAGATATTTAAATCAACCACATGAAAAGCAGTTAAATGCCAGGAATAAGGCAGTACCTTTCAATAACAATCCTAAATGTAAATGGTTTAAATTCCCTATGCAAAAGACACAAACTGACTAATTGGAGTGAAAGACTGTATACCCAACTATGTGCTGTCTACAATAGACTTGCCTGACCGGTAAAGATACACAGACCAATAGTGAAGAGATAGAAAAAGATACACTATGCAAACGCAAACCAAAAATGAGCAGAGTAGCTATTCTTATATTGGATAAAATAGACTTTAAACCAAAAATCATAAAAAGAGACAAAGGCCATTATATAATGATAAAGAGATCTATACAGCAAGAAGACATAACAGTCAGAAATATATATGCACCCAACACCAGAGCACCCAGATTTATAAAGCAAACACTATTAGACCTATAGAAAGAGACAGACCCTAATATGATAATAATTGGGGACCTGAACACATCTCTATCAACTTTGGACCAATCATCTAGGCAGCAAATCAACAGAGAAAGAGTATTTAAGCTACACTTCAGACCAGTTGGATTTGGCAGACGTCTACAGTACATTTCATCCAGCAACTACAAAATATACATTCTCATCAGCACATAGAACGTTCTCCAGGATAGACCACCTGTTAGGTCACAAATCAAGTCTCAACACATTTTTTAAAATTGAAATCATTTCAAGTATCTTTTGAGACTGCAAGGGATTAAAACTAGAAATCAAAAACAAACAAAACTCTGGAAACAGTACAAGCACATGGAAATTAAACAACATGCTCCTGAATGACCTAAATTTAATCTGTTTTATACATTTGAAAGTTTTTGTATCTGGCTACAGTTATTGATAGATGGTGAGTTCTGACTTAATAAATTATCATTTTTTGAGCCTTTTTAAAAAAATGTTTAATATTACATATAGAAAATAGTATTAAAGGAAAACAGAGCCTAGCAAATTTTCACAAATTGAATATTCAAGTAACTAACACCTAGGCCACCACCTTTCTCAGAAGCCATTTCTTAATTAACTTTCCCACCCCAGCCTAAGGTAATGTTTATGCCAATTCATGCTAATCATGCCTTTTTCCTATGCATCATCTTTAAACACTATAATTCAGTTTTGCCTGTTTTTTGAATTCTATATAAGATCAGTTTAAACTGTATAAATTCTTTCATTTAATATTATTACATTTGGGATACTTATTGTGTCAGTGTTGTTCAGTGTATCCGTTGAGTTTTCATTGTTTAGTATTTCACAATTTATTACTTCTGTTGCTTATCAGCATTTGGCTTTTCAGTTTTGAGTTATTAAAGCTGCTATGAATGTGTCTTTTGCTATAAATTGTATTCATTCTGTTCAGTATGTACTCAGGAGTACAAATTGTTCTCAGGGTATATATATTTCAATGTTAATAGACACTGCCAAAGAGTTTCTCAAAGTAGTTATAGAGGTTTAAAACCCATCAGCTTTTTATAACAGTCCATGTAACTCCACTCCTATGTAAACATTTGGAAATTGTCTTTTTAGTTCTAGCCATTGTGTTGGTTATGCAGTAGTACTCAGAGTAGTTATAATTTGCATTCTCTTGATAATTAATGATATTGAGCACATTTTCATTTTGGAAATGTTCTTTTATGAAGTGTTATTTCAAGTAACTGTTTGCTGCCTTTTTTTTTTTTTTTTTTTTTTCTTTTCTTGGCTGCTGGCTGGTTCAGAGATCCAAATCCTTGCCCTTGGTGTTGTCAGCACCACTCTAACCAACTGAGCTAACTGCCCAGCCTCAAGAATCTTTTATTAATTTTTCAATTTGATTGTTTGCCTTTTTGTGGATTCATAAGAGATCTTCATGTACTATATTCTGGTTATTAGACCTTTGTTGGATATGTGTATTATAAACATCTTCTCCCCGATTCTGATTTACTGTTTTTTGTCTTACTCATGGGTGGTCTTAATTTTCTTTTGTAGTTAGTGTTTTTTTGTGTGTGTACTTTGGAGTGTTTCCTTATCCTAAGGCCTTGCAGATATTCTTATATATTATTTCTATAAGCTTTAATGTTTTGTCTTTCAGGTTTAGATCTTGCCTGAAATTAAATTTTGCATATGATTTGTTTTAGAGACCATTTTCATTTTTTTATATATGTTTATCCAGTTGTTTCATTGCGGTTTACTGAAACGACCATCCCTGTCTTGTGACCGTGCTACCTTACGTACATTAAGTACAAGGGTACCTCAGAAAGTTTGTGGAAAAATAGAATTGAAAGATAGTACGAATTTTTCCATGGAGTATTGGAATGACCTTCATATTCTTACATGTGTGGTTCTGTTTCAAGTATTTTAAAAATTCCATTGGTCCTTTTTCTGTCTTTCGGACTTGCAGCGTAGCTTTACCTGAAATCTGTGCATCTAGTAGATAAGAACTCTTTTGTCATCAGTGGTTTGGAAACAATTTCTCCCA